CTCCCCCCCCCCCTCCGTTACAGGCTGGTTTTTGGGACGCTGTACCCTGCCTACGCCTCCTACAAGGCTGTCAAGACCAAAAACATCCGGGAATACGTAAGTAAGGGTGCCTGGGTAGCTCCTTTCTGGGCTCTAGCCCCGGGCTGACGGGCTTGCCTGCTCTCCGTAGGTCCGCTGGATGATGTACTGGATTGTTTTTGCGCTCTTCATGGCCACGGAGACCTTCACCGACCTCCTCATCTCTGGCTGCTGTGCCGGGGAGCTGGGTCTGTTTGGGGTCCCCGTGCCCTGGGGTGAAGGAAAGGGGCTGCCTCCCCCCCCTGCCTGCTAGGGCAGGGGCACGGGCTGCCCCGCTGCCTGCCTGGCACCTGCCTCTGGGCACACCCTGCGTGGGATTTCCAGGCTTGATGCTAGGGGGAGAGGCAGTGTCCCTCCTGCAAGGGAGCAGGAGATGCCCTTGGACCACCCCCCCCGGCATCTGCTCGCCCCCATCTTCTCCCCCTCTTTCTGGCAGGCTTCCTTTCTACTACGAGGTTAAGATGGCCTTCGTCATCTGGCTCATCTCCCCCTACACCCAGGGGGCCAGGCTGCTCTACCGTAAATTCGTCCACCCCACGCTGTCCCGCAAGGAGAAGGTAAGGGCTACCTGGTTCTGGGGTGGGGGGTCCTGTGTGCCCTGGGGGGCTCAGGACCCTGGACTGGTGATGCCCTGGGACCTATATGGGTTGTATCGGCAGGAGATCGACACGTACATCATCCAGGCCAGGGAGCGCGGCTACGAGACGATGGCGCGCCTTGGCAAGAGGGGCCTCACCAAGGCAGCAAACACGGACGTTTTTTTTGCCGGGAACGGGGCAGGCTGCTCCGCTGCCCTGAGGGTGCTTCGGCCCCAGGGATCCCAGGAGGAAATTGCTACCCCTGCATGGGTGGCATCGGTGGTGTGGGTGGCAGAAGAGGGGTCTCTGGGTGCAGACCCCTGCCCAGTTGGGATTGCGTCGCTCTGGGCTGTTGGTGCCTGGCCCCATATTTGGGTGCTTTGGGGTTTACCCTGTGGGGTTCACTTCCATCCTTGCTGTGTCCCCCCCGTCCTCCAGAGCCAGGGCGCGCTGGCCGGGCGGCTCTGCAGCTTCAGCATGCAGGACCTGCGCTCCATCCCCGACGA